ATGAAATAATTCTGTATTCCCATTGTACGTCTGTAATTGGTGTAATACAACGAACTACGTCACCACACTGGTCAAAATTATCATAACCAAAAAACACTTTGCGTTGAAAATGTATTGATGCAGTTTATTTGATAACATTTCAATTAGCAGTAATCTAAATATTGGTAACGATGCGCCGGATAGCATTAGATATATGGGGGGCTTAAATCTATAAATTGCATACAAAATTGTTGTTTCATATTATATATCAAAGCTGGAAGCTTTAAAATGGATTATGTTCCATTTTGTGTATTTGCAACGAAATAATAAACAACAAATGAGATGGAAATAAACGTTGTAAATATATTTGGCTAGAGGGTAAACAAACAAACAAACAAACATTTGTTCGAATGTAAACCTTGGTCGAGTAGTTACCCGAAGCTGTGAATCTTCAATCTTGTGAAAGGGAAAATTAACTTCAACCGAAACCAAAAAAAAAAAACAAAGAAATCTATTTTCTTTTATTTTGTGAGAGTGTTCACGGGCAAAAGCCTTTGGCCGCAGACCTTGGACATTCCAACAGGACTCAGCACCATCGCACTCAATACGCGCTACCCAAGAATGGTTACAATGGCCACCCCAATCTCCGGATACCAATTCGTTGGACTATTGTGTCTGGAGTAATTTGGAAAGCAAGGTGTCGATCACCTCAAGCAAGCGCTTCACTGGGAATATGCCAAAATACCGCAGAGCAACATTCGGGTAGCGTCCGACGCCATAATTCGTGCCAAAGGTGACTGATGCGAACAAATCTAAACTTATTCTAAAATTTGATGCTATTTCCGAAATTTTTTTCTTTCATTCAATAAAATTTAAAAAAAATGTAAAAATTATGGCGTTTGACTTTGCTGCAGCATTTTTATCTCACCCTGTATATGTAAAATAAATTGGTGTTAGTTATTCCGCTTATAAGTCAAGACCCGCTAGACTGATTTTCGCAATTCTCGTCAATTCAGAAAGGGAAAAAATCTAAGAAAATCGCGTAAAAATATTCCAATAAAAAAGTGAATATTTTTGTTACATTTTTTTTCAATTTTTGTCATATTTTTTATCGCATGCGATTTTTTCAATTTGTCTTACAATTTTGAAATTTAATTTTTCTAAAGTTTTTCTACACTTTATATTGAGGGTATTATATACAGGTCGCAATTATTGTCCAATCCTCACGAAATTTTGCATGGGGGTAGAGTTTGGATCAGAAGTAAAGCCTATGTACATTTAGGAGTTTAAATGAACCAAAAAATTAATTAAATTTTCCTGATTTTGCAGTCGCTCTACAGGTTACAATTGAAAACCAATCGACACGGAATTTTGCATGAGGAGAAAGTTAAGGACAGGCAAGAAGTCCAGCATGTTGGATGACCATTGGATTACATTTAGCTGTAAAATGTTCCTCAACGTTCGTGTGAAATTGTTTTAAATACTAACACCCAGAGGGAGTGCGGAAATATTAAGCAAATACCCCCGATCAAAACGCTAAGGGTAACATTTGAGCAGGGCTCTATGACTATCAATTCACAGGAGAAATCTTCCAATCTTTTATAATTTTTCTTACGCTTTTGTGAACGTATGTTGCCCAATTTGAAAATAATTTATTACACTTTTTATAATTTTTTTTTCTATGAAAATTATTTGAGGAACTTTTTTTTATGAAAATTTGCATAATTTGTGTTTTTTGGCAAGCCACCAAAATGAACTAGTAAATACGGGGATATGAAATTATTGTCCTCAACTCAAGAACAAATAGATCAATTTGACTCATTTGATTTGATTGTCACCTCATCCCGTGGAATATGTCAGTTTTTGTCTCCTCCGTAACTTAATTCCTACTTGATATTTCGTGACGATTACACTATTATTGCATGAGCGCGTGAGCGTTAACAAGTTGTTCAAAGGGCACTTCTAGAAAACACAACATGTCAAGGTGTATCTTTTAACGAAAATTGATGACACCGAAACCACCATCTACCCTTGGGGGAACTCAATTCAATCACTGAAATGTAAAGTCAATGTTCTTTTTGTAAGCCACGAACAACATTTCGCTGCCAGAAATTAATATTTATTTAAGCTTTCTTTATTTATATAACATCGGTGTGATTCTGAAGTGTTCCATATGTTGTTTTTCAGATTTTCGAGAATGCTCTTTCTGAATTTTTGGTCTGGTATCTACTCAACTTTCGGAGATATCTACGTTAAGAAGCCAATAATTGGCAGGGGTGTCCAGCTATTATTATACCCTACACCACAAGGTGGTCAGGGTATTATGTCTTTGTGCATTTGTTTGTAACAGGCAAAAGGAAACGAGATAGACCCCTAGTTCCTTCTGATGATCTGCATAGAATCACTATCTGAGTTGATTTATGCATGTCAGTCCGTCTGTCCGTCCGGCCGTCTGTCCATGTATTCTTGTGAACAAAATGCAGGTCGCATTTATTATCTGATTGAGATGAAATTTTGCAAACAACATTTGTTTGGCCCAAGGACGAACCCTATTGAAATTGGAGATAATCGGTAAAAATTTAGATATAGCTCCCATATATATCTTCGTCCGATTTGCCTTTTATTGTGCACCAAACGTGTAATATCAGCCCGAATAGTATGGAATTTTGCACATACAACCAAATTAGGACTGAAAATAAGTATGTCAAATTTGATCGAAATCGGTTCAGGTATAGCTATAGCTCCCATATATATTGTTCATCCGATTTGTTATTTTTGTCCTCCGCAGCCGTAATATGCACTCTGTAACAACAATATTTGGGGAAATATATCAAATGCAGCTCAGAAATACCTTTGCTAAATTTTATCGAGATCGGTTCAGATTTGGATATAGTTCCCATATATAACTTCGTCCGATTTACCTTTTATTGTGCACCAAACGTCTAATATTTGTCCAAATGGGATGGAACTTGGCACATACGACCGAAGGTAGTATGCCAAATTTGGTGAAGATCGGTTCAGATATAGTTATAGCTCCCATATATATTGTTCATCCGATTTATTGTATTTGTTACCCACAGCCGTAATATGCACTCCGTAACAACGATATTCAGGGAAATATATCAAATGCAGCTCAGAAATACCTTTGCTAAATTTTATCGAGATCGGTTCAGGTTTGGATATAGTTCCCATATATATGTTTATCCGATTTCAAATTAATTTCGCACCAAATGGGCAATACAAGTCCGAATTTAAAAGATACAAATGCTTCGGCATATTTAGTCCTTTGAATGAGCGTGTATGATTGTATGATTGAATTCTCGCATAAAAACTTTTAATTATTAAGTGGAGTTCAACTAAATTAGCAAAGTGGTGTAGGGTATCATAAAATCGGCCCCGCCCGACTTTAGGACTTTCTTTACTGGTATAAAAAGTTTATTTGGGAGCTAAAAAAGCCAAATCAGGATATCATTTTTTGATTTGGAATATTCAAATTTAAAATATCAAAGGTCGAACAAATTTTAGTAAATTTCTTCCAAGTAGCAGACAATATTTTGCAGTTATGTCGAAAGTGTGAATTTTGAACAAACTTAAAGAAAAAATTTGAGTTCAATGCAAATCTTTGGTCCGTCTTCCATTGAGCTTATGGTCTCGTCAATTGGGTAAAAAAGTGTTTTTTTTTTTTGTATTGGAGTTATTTTCAAATAACTTCTGGGTAGAATGTCCCCAGACAAAAGCCTAGGGAATTGATGAGCATTGGTGGCTCTTTCCGAAACCAGGGTTTGGCCTGCCTTACCCCGTGGAAAGTATTACCATCTTTCTCCACTATTAGATAAACGTATTTTTTATAAAAAACAATAATTATGGGATTAAGCCTACATATTTACAACAAAAACGATATCATGTTTTTAAAAATGCTCTATATTATGTTATTTCGAAATAAACCCAATTTTCAGTCGACTCCAAGCAATTCGTGGCGCAAACTTTGAAATTCGTAATTTTTTCAAAACAGGTAAGTAGCGTATTTTATTTTAATGGCATATTTAGGATAGATATTTTCAAAAAGTAATACGAATTGCTTTTTAAAATTCTAAATAACAAATGTCAATTTCGTTATTAGTCCACTATTTTGCATAGCCCAACATTATGTTCCTCTAGATTTTAGTTACGTTAAAAAATTCAAAAACAAAATGAAGATCCACAAATTAATTAGGCTCCATATAGCAATACCTCTTGATTTTCAGTATGACAAAAGCCTCAACTAAAATCTCCAACACATTTACAGAATTTTGCTAGTTTGGGTTCAAAGTGGTTAGATTATCCCCTTGTTAAAAGTTGTCCAGTTAGGTTCATGTTTTGGCCAATGGCGATACTGGCCGATTTTATTTGTATTGAAATTCCCAACCGAAGCCAAATATTGGTGTTTTAATCTTGGTCACAAGTGTTTTTATATCTTGAAATCTAATATGGAACTACAGCTTTGGAATTATTGAGCTATTTGTTTTGAAATTAACAGCCGAAGCGGCAAATATTGGTATTCATGTATTATTTTAGAAATTATTTTTGAAATCTAATACGGAAACACAGTTTTGGAGTTATCGTCCCAAAATCATTGCAGAAGAACTGATTTAATGCAATTTAAAGATTCCCCATAGGACATGCCAAGAACACCCCAGCCGACTTTTAACACGGATTCCATTTCCATTCCCATTTTATATAAAATCCAGATCATCAAGTCAGTTATGGGAATAACATTTAGAAAATAACACTTCTGTCTTCTTTATAGAAATAATATTTAAAAAATAACACTTCTGTCTTCCTTATTGAATCGAATCGCAATATGATTCAATATGCAGAATCAGCAAAGGAGTTATTTTATATTTGTTCACTTCTGTCAGAAACATTAATGGAAGTCTCACTTTATACAGTTTTTCAAATTTTTCAAAATTATTTCAGTTCATTTTTGTAGGAAACTTTAAAAAAACACATCACTTTTATCAAAAAATCACTGTGATACGTACGTTGATTGTTTTGGGCTGCTATGCGATAAACTAATTCTTTGTGGTAGTGAATAGAATTCAAATCCAACACCGGTAATTTGATGTAAGCACTTGGAAACTGAGTTGTTAACTTGGCATCATTCATGAGTGGCCACTGCTTTTTATACAATCTTTGGCTCATCAAAACCTTTCTGCTAAACAAAAAAAAAAAAAAAAACGACGACGACAGCGTCAAAACACCAATACCAACACCAGCAAAAAACCAACAACAGCAGCATCGAAAGTTGAACAAACAATCCCCCATGCATACGTACATACACATTCGTTTCACCGACACCCAACAACATGTTGATATATTTTCATTCATCCCGAGTTCCCTACTAGGAGGGAGATACGTTGTTTAGCTGGAAACAGGACAGAAAATGCCAATAAAAATATTATGAAATTGTAACCAAAACATAAGGAGCAATAAAATTGTTGGCAATTGAAACTTACCATGTTCTGCCAGGGATGGAATTTTGAAACTTGTGGCTCTTCGGAATGTCAGAGCACCTGGGTTGAATATGTCCAAATAAACAACTGCGGAAACCGATGAGGATCAATTGAGTGATATGAAACTATTGTATAGCTATGAATAAATGTTTTTATACCCTCCTCCATAGTACGGAGGATATATTAAGTTTGTAGTTCCGTTTGTAACACTTCGAAATATACATTTTGGACCCCACAAAGTATATATATTCTTGATCAGCATAAAATTCTATGTCGATTTAGCGATGTCCGTCTTTTTGCCGGTAACACCCGATATTCGGTATTTTGATAATTTAAGCGACATTATTCACCGAAATTATTTCAAATTTGGTATTTGAAGTTTGTAATGGATACTACAGCCTAACAGGTCCACGTCTTCGTAGAGCCCACAGGTAACGGTAACACCCGATATTCGGTATTTTGATGATTTTAGCGACATTATTCACCGGAATTGTTTCAAATTTGGTATGTGAAGTTCGTAATGGATACTACAGCCTATGACAGGAAATTGTCTGTGCAGGTCCACGTCTTCGTAATGTCCCCATATGACGATACTTCCCTATATTCGGTATTTTGATGATTTTAGCGATATTATTTATCGGAATTGGTATTTGAAGTTCGTAATGAATACTGTAGCCTAAGGCTGAAAATTGTCTGTGCAGGTCCAAATTTTGGTATAGTCCCCATATAATAGTACCTCCTTATATTGATGATTTTAGAATGGATGTATGGATGTCCAGTTCTAGACCCAATTCCAATATTTCTGTCAAAACCAATTTCACCGTGTCCATATGTAAACCCTAGACTCAATATCAAATTTCAGGATTTCCCTCATTTCCAAATTAAGTACCATTTCGTACAATTATAAAATGCATATCCTAAACCAGCTCCTTCTCTCAATCCCAGACACCAACAGTGACATCCATATCAAATTTCTGCATCCCAGCTCTATCCCTTCACCCAACACCCAATTTAGTACCACTTATTACTTTTCGAACAATTATAGTACACATTTTGAACACAATATCCATATCTCAACCTCAGTTATCAAGAGTGACTTTAATATCAAGTTCCATAATTTTATTTTTTTCATTTCACCTAATACCCAGCAGAGTACCATTGAGTAGTTTTCGTACAATTATAGTACACATTTCTGAAACCACTTCCATATGTCCAGGCTACACATGAACAGCGTCCCTAATACCGAAATTTCAGATTTCAAGCACAATCTGTTCACCCAATATCATATTGTACCAAATATCGTTCTTTTCGTGCACATGTAGTATATATATCCAAAACCACCTCTTTTTCACAAACACACTGCCAACAGGGACACCAATAGAAAATTTAAAAATTCCAGCTTCATCAGTTCACCCTAAACCAAACTGTTCCGAATTTATTACCATTTAGTACAGTTCGCGCACTTAGTACACTCTTCCAAAACCACCTCCATATATCAAATATACTTTCCAAACTTGATTCTCATACCAAATTTCAAGTTTTTAGCTCTATCCTCGCACATAATACCAAATGGTACCATTTTACAAATTTAGTACAGTTTTGGAAGTTTTCGTTGCCCTGGCTCATTTTGTTTGTCGCATTCAAAGTATTAAATTTTTAGTGCATTTATACTTACCCATTTAGTACCAATTTCCAAAACCCAGTCTTATCACTCACTTACACACCAAAAATGACCCTCGTGCAAAATTTCGTTGATTCTCAGTCAGTCAGTTATTTCACTACTCTTTTATATACATGTAACATATTCTCTTCGTTGCAATGCAAATGGTAGAAGCAGAAGTAAAAAGAAGAATCTGTTGTCTTAGTTAATTTTTTGCTTTGGTCCTGAATTCTTTTGCGAAATGATCATCCATCCAGAAAAAATCGTCATATGTTTTTCTCTCTTTAGCCATCCATTGTTATATGATTCTTTTTAAGTTTTTTTTTTAATTTCTTATGATAATGTTGACAAAGGTACTGTTCGTCTAAAATCGTGGTAAAACATGTAAAACAAAATGTTAATCCATTTCTACGTTTTATCAAATAAATAATTCTGGCTACCCAACTCTGGTGCAAAGGTATGCCTAATATACACAGTACGTATATCTTTGAGCCAATTAAACAGCGGGGGTGTCAGTGTTTCTATTTGTGTGTTTGTGTGTGTGTGTGTGTGTGTGCGTTTCATGTTTATCGGCAAACGAACACTACACGAAAAAGTAGCTGGAATCCAATATACATATTTGAAGCGTGTATTCGTGCTGCGCAACATGTTGACAACATTTGCCGCTTCACCTAAACACAAGTCCAGCAAACCAAATTGTCCTAGTTCGGACAGTATTTGTGTTCGATCTCAGTCATAGAGGTGATAGTTTATTGTTTGTGACGAAACCTCGATGAAAGTTCAACATAAAACGTCAAGGTGAAATTTTTGGATGTAGTTTATGACGTGGTGGTGACTTTTACACCTCTTAATTTTACATAACATACTTTTATTTATATAATTATTTGTCTTGTAGGCATTAGTTTGTATATTTTAATTTACAATAAGTAAAAACAGTAGAGAGAATTTCAACAAAATGTGAAGAGAGGATAAAATTTACCACCGCCACGTTAGTTAAAGTTTAAGATAGATTTTGGTCTAAAGGGATATTCTAATTGTCGTCTTGGTTCGGAAATTGAAACATAATTGACTATAATTTGTATCCAAATCATGATAGAATCAAGATAACTTTTCAAATGCCTAAGAATTGGATGAAGACATTTCCCTCAAATAGAGAGTCTACAAATATGAACACATACAACAGAAAACAAATCCTAAAATTCACAAAAAGTTAGTCCTGCGCTTCTAACATTAAGTTTGCTGGGAAATTGTGAGAAGCAACAGACAGGTTGTTTGAATTTGTGGTGAATTTCATTCAAATTGTGCACCATTCAACTTGTTGATTTCCGTTCATACGAATTACATGTGTATGAGTGCGTGCGTGATGTTTGTGTGTGTGTGTCGCCATGCAAATACATATGTATGAAATTGCTCTCAAATATACACTCGCACAAGCATTCATACATATTTACGCTTGTTACTTAGCATGTAAGTCAACAGCATAAATGAATGTAAAACATGACGCAAATTCCAGCGTCCAAGGCGTAGTTCAGCTAACGGCTAATAGCGTTGTAATCACATTTTTGCTTCCTAATCTAAATCCCCTATTTCGGGAGTGCTGAATTCTCACAGAACTTTGGAAAAGATAAGGCACTGGAGCCCGCCAATCCCACATGATTTACCATTTTATGACAGTGTACTTGTCGCTCACCTAATGGTCGGACACCCTGATGCAGTCAGTTCAGAGGTACTTCCCATTAGTAATCGATGTTTAATTTACGACGCCCATAGATAATTGAAATCCATTCTAATAATAACGCTTTATTTATATTCTAACCATTTTAATGAATCAATACGTATTGCAGATGCAATATATCGTGTCCCATATCGGACAACGGGGATATTTGTACGTGGTAACGAACAGGGTTGCGAAGTGGATACGATATCATGGTAAACAAAATACTATGAGTTGCAAGTTTTCTATCTAACGGAAATAAATGGTGTTAGAACAAACAAAATTCGCTACACATATGTTTGAAGCTATTGTAAAATGGGGAATATGAATATTAGAACATGCAAAATGACCTTGTACTTGGCATGATCAAAGACTGTTAGACTTCTAAAAAAACATGGTCCGTATGACCATCTAAGCCCATCCAAGGGAATGTAGTATTCTTCGTGGTTTATAAATAAACAAGTAAAATAGTATCAGTCGGTTTTGCCGACAGATGTATACCCTCAGCCTTGAGTTACGAACGTGACAGATTTGGACTATATCGACTACTTCTTGTACTTTATATGAGGTATGTGCACCTTTTCGGAAAATGGAAATATGCGTCAGGTAACAGATACAGCGGACCGAAGTATTCCATTTTCACACTTCATCTAATACAGATAAAATACATCATCCTAGTTTGAATAGAATCGGATGATAATTTTGCGTTTTATGAACTTCATGGATACTCATAATTTTAACCTTTTGTGGGGGAGGTACCAGAAGGAGTGGACCGATATATCCCATCTTCACACCAGATCTTGAGTTAGTAGAAATAATGGGACGTGTGTAATATGAAGAGAACTGGATGTTTATTTCGGATTCTTTGGAATGGAATCGTGTTCAAGTGTTTTAAGAGCGTGATGAATATTCAAAATTTCGACCTTTTGTGGGGGAGGTACTTGATGGAGTGGACCTATGTTATCCATTTTTGCACCTGACCTAGAACTGATGTAAATATCAGGATTTGCAAAGTTGGAACAAAATCGGATTATCGATTCTCTTTCTGTGCAGAAAATATTTTTTTTTATATATTTTTTATATATTTTATTTTTTTGAAAATCTTGATCATTTGTGTGGGAGGTACCAGAAGGAGTGGACCGATATGTTCCATCTTAACACCAGACCTTGGGTTAATATAAATATTAGGATGTGTGAAATTTGAAGACAATCGGACTCTTACATCACATTTTATGAGAGTTGTAATTATTTAAAATTTCGACACTTTGTGGGGGAGGTACCA